CTTCTACCTGGTATGAAGCATTTGGTTTCATGTGTCTTTTCTCTTTTTTTGTTGGTATACTTGGTGCAGTTGTATTTGGCCGAATCTTAATGGCCCTTGGTATTATTAATTGAGAAACTATTCTGTAATTTTTTATTTATTTTTTTATTTATGAAGTGTCATAACATCACGGAGAGTTTTCTTAAAATTATTTTCTGATCATATGCATTAACTCAAGGGGAGTTCCTATATTTAATAGATATTGTGTTAAATACTAGCATTATTGTTTAATATTTTTTGTTGCATTTATTTCAAAAGATAAATAATTTTCTTTACCTGCATTAACCTTTTATTTTGATGATGTCAATGGGAGAAGAGAAATTTGATTTATATATAAATTATTTGACAAAGAATTTGTTAATAATGGGGGAGAAAATATAATGAAAATAAATGCATATATTATGATTGTTGAATATTTTTGTTGCATTTATTCATGTAAAATTTTGTCAAATTCATGCTTGTATTGCCATCATAAAAAAAGGGAAAGATTGTTAATCATGTGGTTTAATTATGATGATGTCTAAAATATTATTGGATAAATTGTGATTTTTTAATATACATATTTTACATTCTTTGACACAAAATATTATCTATTTAAAATATATGTTGTTTGATATATTTGTTATAAATATTATTTAAATCGAAATTACTATGCAATATTTGATTTTGCAAAAATATTTTATAAAATTTACTATTTACATTTTGGAAAATATGGTTGGTCACTATTCATCTTTTGACAAATGTGATATTGGTGAGTTGTTTTCTTTTGACACAATTTGATATATTCACTTGGGATGATTGGTTATTTTTATTAGAATTTATCTAAAATCTCTACAATAATTACAAAGATTTTAAAAGGGTATATATTTTGATATAAATATTATTTAAATAGATTTTACAATGCATACAAATATTTTAATAGAGAAATCACTGTGCATTCAAATATTTTAATAGAGAAGTTACTGTGTATTCAAATATTTTAATAAAGAAGTTACTGTGCATCTAAATATTTTAATAGAAAAGTTACTATGCAGTCACTGTGCATCATTTGTTTTTGTGGAAAAAGTTTTGAAATATTTGTATCACTATTTATCGAAAGCAACGTTTGGCCAATTGTTTCAAACCTATGAGTTGTAATTTTTGAAAATGGAAAAGGCCTTGTGCACCCGTGATAAAGCATGATAAAAAGCATTGCGCGTGAAATCAGTGATCCGAAGAGAAGCATCTTCCTTTCTCCAATGAATATGAGCCAACAGATATAATTTTATGATATATAACGAGTATTTTTGGTTGAAAAAAATAAGTGTTGAGGAAGAGAAGAAAAGAAAAAATTTGTGATATTTATTTGTTCTCAAAATATTATTGTGCTTCATTGAGTTGTATTTTCTGTAAGAAAATTTGTTTAGAATTTGAGCAAAATTATAAAAGGGTTTTCTATCCCTTATTCTTATTATTCTTGTAAAAAAATAGAGAGTTTTTGTGAGTAATTTTTCGAGATAAATCACTTGGGTTAGGTGAGACTAAGCACCAGATTTAAAACTAGTCGGGTTATTTTTTTGAGTGATTTTTGGGATAAATCACTTGATTTAGTGTGACTAGACACCAAATTCTAAACTAGTCTGTAAAGGTTCACTAATACCCGTGAAACTAATGGTGTAATTACTATTTGAAGAATAATTGAGAAATTTCCAAGGAGGATACTTGAGGTGAACGTAGGCCCAACATGCCGAACTAATATAAATTTCAATGTTTGATTTCTCTCCTTATTTCTCTTACTCTTTGATAATTATTGTTCTATCTTTTATTCGTTAAAAGTTGAATTTTTTTATTATTATATTTAATATTGTAAAATTATTTTTAATAATCCAATTCACCCCCTCTTGAATTGCTTACATGGAAAAACAAATTTGTTCTAACTTCTAAGCAAATATAAGCCCAAACCTAATCCACCTAAATTTTTATAAACCCCAACCTGCATATTTTATTCATTATTTTTTAAAAATAATATGACTTTTAATACATAACTTGTATTAAATAATTTGAATTTATTGAATTAGCCAAATTATTAATTATTGTTAAATAATGAGTAAACATAATATGATAAACTAATGTATGAAAATGAGATAAATTACTAATAATGATTAATGGCATATAACTATGAACTTTTTATTTCTTATAATAATAAATCAATATAAGGATCTATTGAGTATGGAAGGCTCAAGTTCAGTCTGTGGACTCTGCAAAACCTGTACTGGGCCTTAAATCAGTAATGGGCCGAGATAGGGTAGTTAAATTCATAAAAATTAAAGTAATATATTCATATTTAATACTAAGTACTTAAATTTTTAACTATTTATACATATAACGAACAACTGTCAACACCAACCCTGTAGCTTGAGCCACCATTAGCCCAAGATAGGTTTGAGATTTGCTGAGTTCAAGCTTAACTCATTTACTTATCAAGTTTGTTTATTGAGTTTGAATTCGACTTGATAAGAAACTGAGTTCAAGCTTTGTTCAGCTCGGCTCATTAATATTAATGAAACTCGAGCTCGACTCAGCTCGGCTCGATAATTTTTTTTAATATTATTTATATTATTTAAATAAAAATATTTGAATAAAAAATATTATTTATATTATTTAATATATAAATAATGTATTTATACTATTATTTATAGATTATATATTATTTAATATATAAGTAATATATTTATGATATTATTTAAATAAAGATAAACGAGTCGAGCTTGATGAGCCGAATTTATGTGAGTTCGATCTTGACTCGTTTACTAAATGAACGAGCTAAGCTAAGCACTTAACGAGCTGAGCCGAACTTGTTTATAAACAATTCGACTCATTTACAACCCTAGGATTAAGAAAAGGATTTGATTTTTCTCATTGCCAATTGCTTATTTATTTTCTTCTTATTCATGTATAACACTTCGGAGTGATTTTAGTTTTTATTTTTTATTTTAGTTTTTAGTGTGTAATTAACTTTTTTTCAAGTCTGGTCCAGTTGTTTTTAATTTTTATGGACTTATAGTCTAGAAAAACCTAAAAAAGTGCTAAAACAATTCACTGACGGATAGGCCTTAATAGGTCGATTTATTATTCAATAGGTCATTAGAGAATTAATGGTGATTTTCATCAGCTATTAAAAAAAGTTACTAATGGTTAGTTTTCAACGACAATTTAAAAATTTTATTATAAAAAATGTCACTAATTATAAATTTTGGCGACAAGTTACAAAAAAACGTTACTAATTGTAAGTGTTACCAACAATTTATAAAAATTATGACAAAAAAAGTCATTAATTGTCAATTTTTAGCAACATGTGTAAAAAATCATCACAAAAATATATTTTTAGTAACAATTTTATTAGACATTATTTTCAATAGGACTTCATAAGAATTAAGGCAATGTTTGGAAACCTTTTAGACAGGCTATTTTAGCTTCAAATTGCCCGCCTAATCCATTGATTTAAAGAAAAGAAAAAAAAAAAAAAAAAAAAAGTAGCGGTTGTCAGCAGCACGAACAACCTACACTGTCACCAACACAGTATAGGCTGAGGCTACCACTGCTATCCCACAGATAGTTAAATGACCATTTTGCCCTTGAAGATCAATTTTGGAAAAAAATAAGATTAGGGGCAAATTTATCATTTCAAACATATTTTTCAATAAAACAATCAACCCAAAAATTTAACCCAACTTCTCAAACACAAAAACTAAAATAGCCTATTAAAATAGTCAAAAAACCAAAAAGCTTAAAAAAAAGTCACTTCCCAAACATCCACTAACCTATTGGCAGTTTACCTTAAAAATAAAATGTTTAGAAAAAAAATGTTAGTATTAAAAAAGAGATAACTATCAATAAGTCTTAATAGGTAGACTTAATTTCTATAAAGTCCTATTAATAATAAATTCTAGTAAAATTGTCACTAAATTTTTTTTATAAATTTTATTAGACATTATTTTCAATAGGACTTCATAAGAATTAAGGCCTTGTTTGGAAACCTTTTAGACAGGCTATTTTAGCTTCAAATTGCCCGCCTAATCCATTGATTTAAAGAAAAGAAAAAAAAAAAAAAAAAAAAGTAGCGGTTGTCAGCAGCACGAACAACCTACACTGTCACCAACACAGTATAGGCTGAGGCTACCACTGCTATCCCACAGATAGTTAAATGACCATTTTGCCCTTGAAGATCAATTTTGGAAAAAAATAAGATTAGGGGCAAATTTATCATTTCAAACATATTTTTCAATAAAACAATCAACCCAAAAATTTAACCCAACTTCTCAAACACAAAAACTAAAATAGCCTATTAAAATAGTCAAAAAACCAAAAAGCCTAAAAAAAAGTCACTTCCCAAACATCCACTAACCTATTGGCAGTTTATCTTAAAAATAAAATGTTTAGAAAAAAAATGCTAGTATTAAAAAATGTATAACTATCAATAAGTCTTAATAGGTAGACTTAATTTCTATAAAGTCCTATTAATAATAAATTCTAGTAAAATTGTCAATATCAAAATCAAAAATACTTAAAATAGCTTGCCAACGGGCAAAAATCTGTTTACTAGCAAGATTTTCAACATCTTTTTCTAAAATAAATTTAGCAGATTTGCAATCAACACGAAGTAAGAATTTTTGATTTAAAACATCATCTTGAAATTTTTGAATACATAAAACAGTGGATAAAATTTCCTTTTTAATAGTACTATAATTAAATTGGGCTTTATTCCAGACACCAGAATGATAACGAACAATTTGTTCAGATGATTGATGGGTAAGTTGTTTAATGAGAGTTCTGAAATAGGTAATTCGGGATTTATGGTAAGCAGTAAATCATAAGAATTATTAAATAATAAATATATTTATTAAACCTATACGTAAGTTTCATTTACAAAAAAGCTGTGCCAGACAAGTTTCATTAATGCAAATGGGCTTGAAACTTCGGACTGTAGGCCGTGAAGAGTTTAATAAGGGCAATTTGGTACTTCACTTAACTTCCAGCTAGGGTTTTTCACTCCTTAAAGCCACCGAAAAACCCTGGATGTCGCTGTCTCTCTCTCTTCTCTGATCAGAGTCTCTATAGATCTCAGGTAAGTATACTTTGTTCGTTTCGTTTTAGGGTTTTTATGCGTACTGTTGAATCTAATTTCTGCGATCTGAACGAACCAATATGATATACAGCATATATGCTCAAACAAGCTGAGATTATGAACCCATACATTTTATATTTTATGAATTTAGGTATGATTTTTAGTTGTTTCATCTAAGCTATTGAGCTTGGGGGGAACTCTTTACGGTTTTTTTAATTGATCTGGGGTAGTATAAATAAAATGGCGTTTGTGCTTGATTCAAATATGAGATGGTATAAAAAAAAAAAAATGGGTCTATCAGGATTTTTGTTGTTGTATTTGATTGTGTCCATGCTTTTACGTTAGGAATAATTCTATGAACACTAACACTCTTACTAAAACTACAAGGCAATGATATTTGGACATCCAATGATTTTGGGACACATAGTTTTAGTAAAAGTTTTAGTGTATGTAGCATTGCTCTTATGTTAATGGTGCGATTTTTGTAGATTTTATTATTGTTATGATAAAATGGCTTTGATTGTTGGGGGTTGTGGTTATTTATTGGATGTTCAAATGGGACTCTCTAAGAGGGTTCTCTTTTTTTGAACCCAAATTAGAGTAAAAATTTGGGTTGCTATATTTTGGGGTCTCACTTTTCATCTATCTTCTCCAAGAATGCTCCTTATTTTTCCTTATTTTTAGTTAAATATTATTTTTTAGGATAAACTACAAATAGGTCCTAATAGTTAGACTTAATTCCCATCAAGTCTTGTTGAAAATAAATCTTGATAAAATTATCGCTAAAAATAATTTTTTTGTGACAATTTTTATCTCTAAAAATTGACAATTAGTGACTTTTTTTTTATCATGATTTTTATAAATTATCGTTAAAACTTACAATTAGTGACCTTTTTTATGACAAATTTTTCTCATAAGACCTATTAGACAGTAAGTCCACTTGTTAGGACCTACACGTAAGTTCCCCTATTTTTTATTCCTTAGTTGAAGAAGGAAAGAGAAAATATAATAATATTGTTTGTTAGGGGAGAGAGAATGTTGCTATGTGTATGTGAGTGTAAGGTACACTTCCCAGAATAGGGTGGAGTTTAGAGTATTTGATGTAGTTATTTTTGGGATTTTGACTCTTCAAATAAGGAAAAAGTGTGTTTAGGTGTCTGTTGAGCATCCACAACAGCTTCCTTATTCCCATTTCCCCCTAATTTATGGAGTCAAACACAAAAAATCTTCCTTCAAGAGCCCCCCTGCTCAACTCCCTATTTAAGGGAATGTACTATCGACTCTCTAAGCATCTCAACAATCTTCCCTAGTTTTTCCTCAAATTTTAGCTGAAAAGTGTCTTTCCTATTTAGGGAACCACTTCTTCAACTATTCTCTTCCCGATTTTTTCTCTATATGTTTTAAATCTTTTAAAAATATTTTTTCTTTATCATTTTTTATTAAATATAAATATATTTTCCAACCTTTCTTTTCTCTTCTCCACCATTTGAGAAAAGGATGATGGATGAGTGAAAAGTATTTTTTAATTATAGAGAGTGATTAAACCCTCCATAAATGTATGGAGTCAAAATTTCCCTACCTTAAATAGGGAATTGAGTTGGGAGATTGTTGGAGGAAAATATTTTGTGTTTGACTTCTTAAAGTACAGAAAAAGTAGGAATAGGGAGACTATTGAGACTGCTAAGAGCATCTCCAACAAACACCCTAAATCCACTTTTTCCTATTTTAAGGAGCCAAAATTTGAAAAACACCACTCCAACAATTACCCTAAACCCCACCCCATTTTGGGGAGTGTACTTTACCGTTCTTATCCCCAATAATCTCTCTATCGTCACTTCAGCCTCCCTACTCAACTCCCTATTTAAGGGAGTGAACTTTTGGCTCTCTACATTTAGGGAGGGTTTAAAAAATTATTTTTCTCTCTCTAATCCCTCATCTTTTTTTCAAATGGTTGAGGAGAGAGAAGAGAGATTAGAAAAATATTTTTAATAATAAAAGAAAAAGAAAAAAAAATTAAAATATTTAGAAATATGTAGAGAAAAAATAAGGAGTTGGAGATGATAATTGAAAAAATGGTTCTCTAAAATAGGAAGTACAGTTTTTAGCTAAAATTTGAGGAAAAACTAAAGAGGGTAATTTTACTTATTTTTACTCTAAAATAGGGTGAAAAGGTGAGTTTCTATATTTTAGGGGGTCATCTTCTCCAACAATATTCTCTATTATTACTCATTAATTAAATATTATTAATATGTAATTCCTTATTTCAAGAAGGAGAAAAATTATAATATGTTTATGTTTGGAAAGACAAGAGCAGGAGAGAGAAAAAATAATCTACCTGTTTGGTTCCGTTTTTTGAATTCAATTTTTAGAAAAATTTGGACTTTTTTTTGGTTATCCAAAAAATAAAAAAAAATAAAAAATGGAAAAATCCAAAATCCTGGATTTCCTGGATGCTCTTTGTTTGTGGCTTCTAGATGCACTTTGGTCAGTGTTGATGTGACTTCTGGCATGTTATTTATTTATTTATTTTTTTCTTTATTGCTTAATGGTTGGGTGTTGTATCTTGTTAAACCCAAAATCCAAAATCCCTGTCTCATTGTATTTTGGAGGGAATTTTGAATTGTTGTTCCAAAATTCAAAAAATTGGAACAACCAAACAATGATCCATTTTCTAAAAACACTTTTCGGAGCAAAAATTTGAAAATTAATTTAGAAAAATTAAACCAAACAGGGTGAATATTTTATGTTTAGGGAATGGTTTTCTCCTCCCTAAATGTAAGGAGGATGAAGTACACTCCCCATAATGGGGTGGGGTTTAGGGTATTTGTGGAGTGGTTTTTTGAATTTTGGCTCCTTAAAATAAGGAAAACGAAAAAGTAGGTTCGGGGTGTTTGTTGGAGTTGCTCTTATAGTTAGGGAGGAGAAAACTGTTGCCTAAATATAAAATATTATTATTTTTTTCTGTCTCCTTTTTTCTCTTCCCAGACATAACCTATTATATTATATTTTTTTATCCTTCTTGAAATAAGGAATAAAAAATAATATTTAATTAATAAAGAGGAATAATAGGGAACATTTTTGGAGAAGATGACTGCTTAAAAGATAAAAACTTACTTTTTTCACCCTAATTTAGGGTAAAAATAGGTAACCTTGTCGGAGATGCTTATAGAGGGTTTAATTTCTCCCTATAATTAAAAATCGAAAATATTTTCAATAAAAATGTTAAAAGGAAAATATCTAAAACATAGAGTGAAAAATAGGGAGTATTGTTGGAGATGATAGTTGAAAAAGTGGTTCTCTAAAATAGGAAAGACCCTTTTTGGCTAAAATTTGAGGGAAAAAAGTAGGGAGTATAGTTGGAGATCCTCTTAGTTGAATGAAAATGGACCATCTCAGTTGTCATAAACAGTTGTTAATGCAATTTCTAGGTGTAGTAGTTAATAGTGCATTCTTTGGGCTTTTAACTTTGCTGGAGTGAGTGAACTTGCCTGTGATTAGATGTCCCATTTAATTTGGGTGAGCCACTTTAGGGATTTGGGTTTACGTTTAGGTTGTGGGTTTGGGCCTTTCCAAAGAAGTTATTTTTCTATTGATCTGATCTTTCTCTTCCTTGGACATTTTATTAAAAGTGACCATATTATGAGTGGATTGACTGAATAACAGCAACCGAAGTCTTCAAACATCTATACTTTCTTATGTGACGTGATGCGAGTTCACCTTCTTGTATTTTTCCTCCTTATCTTCTCTTGTGCATTTGGTTTGCATGACAATATGATCAATGTGGAGTGGAGATCTATCTCGGCTTAGTAAGAAATTTCCATTTTTATTTGATTGCTTAAATTTTTCTGCAGTCTTTGAGGAAAGATGGTGAGAGTTAGTGTTCTGAATGATGCTCTCAAGAGCATGTACAATGCTGAGAAGCGGGGAAAGCGACAGGTCATGGTTAGACCATCCTCAAAGGTGGTCATCAAGTTTCTTTTGGTGATGCAGAAGCATGGTATGCTCCTGTTAATTTGTACTACTATTGTTTTTCTGTGTCTTTTATTTTTTCCCCATTTTTTCTATGAATTTTTATTGTGTATGCTAACTCCTTAATTCTTTTGATCTTCTCTATAGGATACATTGGAGAGTTTGAGTATGTTGATGATCACAGGTCTGGGAAAATTGTGGTTGAACTTAATGGCAGGCTAAACAAATGCGGGGTCATCAGTCCTCGGTTTGATGTTGGTGTCAAAGAGATTGAGGGATGGACTGCTAGGTTGCTTCCTTCAAGACAGGTTAGTGCATGAATTCTTCAGTACTCAATATTAAGGAAAGCCTCTGGTCTAGTGACTACTACTAACTATTGAAAACCCGGCATTTTATAGTGATAATTATGTCTCATGATCAAGCATATTTGATAGTTTTTGCTTATACGAGTTCTTTTCATATTTCCACGTTGGGATTAGTTACTAGTTCTAATTTGATACAAATTTATATTTTTTTCTTGGGAATTAGTTGGAATGCATTCCTATTTGTTAATAGGGAAATGATTGTTGGAAGCCTCATTTGATACAAATTTATGTTTTCTCGGAAATAGTTGAAATTTGTTTGTATCTATGAATATGATCCCAAAATAGGTTAATAATAACGCACTCATTTCAACTGGCTGCAATTTAGTGACAATAATCTAGACTGTAATAGTGTCTTTTTATTACTGATAATATGGAAATCTCTGATGACCATTATTTGTTGAACATCTGCAGTTTGGTTACATTGTGCTGACGACTTCTGCTGGGATCATGGACCATGAGGAGGCGAGGAGAAAGAATGTTGGTGGTAAAGTGTTGGGCTTCTTTTATTAGGCTCGTTTAGGCCAAAGATGAGCCCCAAATTTTCAGCTTATGAGGTTTTTAGTGTACTTCGGAACTAGCTTACACTCGGGAAATGTCTATTTTGCTTCTAATGCGAGTAGTAGTTGAGTATCCACATTTTTGTAACATTATTGTTATCAACTTTGTTTACTTTCTTTGAACAGGTGGATGTTCTGAATGATTGACTGTTATCTCCAACCTTGACAAGTCATTTTGAATGTATGTTTTTTTGGTCTTTCTTTTTCATATACCACTGCTGGTTTACTGATCATTGCAGTTCATGGTATAGGAGGATTGGGAGTCCACGGTGAATGATACAAGCACAATAAATTTAGTGATTGATCTAAGACTTATCTCTCTTGCCTTGTTATCATATTTATTTGGTGAAACTTGACTCGGTGCTGATTTAGATTAAATCTCTGTTGCGTTGTGGTATTTGATGAGAATTAACATAAAAAATGTGTAGTCTGTTATTCGTCCGAAAGACACTTGTGTGCCATGGTTTTTCATGGCTGTTGCTTAGGTTGGAACCTTAATGTTTGAACAACTATGGCTTGTTTGGTGCAGTTTATTGAACTGCCTATAGCTTATTTTCAAGAACTTTGTGTCAGAATGTTTGGTGTTATTTCTGCATATAGCTTATGACATATAAGTGGATCATCTGAAAACTGGAAAGGATTATTTCTAATTATCAATTTTCAGTTTCAGTTGAACCCAACAAGCCCTATGTTGGATACAAGGAATATTGCCATGCTAAATCCAGGTTGGATTTGTGTCATTTATCAATATTTTTCAGGATATCTTCTTCGAGAAATATGCAGTATTTTAATCACCAATTTTGATTAATTACAAACATGACAAACGAAAGTAAAAAACCTAAATAGAAAATGGAAACAAAAAATAATTAAAAACTCCATAAGTATTCCCTTTTTTTTCTTTTTTTGGTTGAGAGAAGTATTCCATCGGCTCATGAGGGCTGGTAATGGAAATTATTAGGAAAAAGAAACAACTTAGGGCATTTCTCCATAAGAAAGCTAAGAAACAAGAAACAGTAAAAACTATTTAGATAATGATATACAATGCCAAAGGTTCTTGGTTGCCCTAATGGTGAATTTACCATCACGACTTAAACGTCACAACCAAACACTTCTGTCTCCTCATCCATGCTATTGTCGCTGTCATCGCTGCCGCCGCCATCGTCGGCCTCCATACCCATCAAGAATGGATGAAGTTGAAGCAGAAATGAGTGAAGAACTCTAGTAGTGAGTTCTTGTAATTCAAAGAGGGTGAGCTTTGGGGTTGTGAGTGGCATTTTTGTAGGGATGACGAGAATGGTGGAGAGAGCATCTTCTCAGCATATACTTGGTATACTACCTTTTCTTTGCATTCTCTCTCCTTAACTTTCTCTTTTTCAGCTTAATTTTCAATATGACAAGGATGACATTTGCCAATTGTGGAATCTACCTAATATCTCTCATGTCTATAACGATAATATCACTTGGCAGTATCATCACTGATCAATGAAAAATCTTATAAAGCAATAATAGAGATTAGTTATTCATCTAATTTTATTTATGATTTTTTATTAGTTGATGACATTATGAATATTATTGTTATATTTAATTTTTTTTTTTTTTGGTTTCTTGTCTCATGACCTTGGGATTTGGATATGGGCATAGGGGGTTCCCAACCTAGCAAGAGCTATGTCATAGTCATAATAATAATTTTCCAATTTTTTTTCCTCTAAAATTACTCGATTTTATCATGATATTTTTGTCGCATATTTATTTATTTATTTTTAATATATATAGTTAATATATGAATAACTTTGATTTTTTCTTTGCATTTTCTGAATTATTTAAGACCACTTTAGAATGAGGACTCATATTTTCAAAACTGTTTTGTACATGTATATATTATACTCTAACTTTTTGTTAATTTTTTTCTCAACGACTATGGACATTTTTTAAGTAACTCCCAATTCATGACATCAGTGTCATTGAGTGTCATTAAAGTTATATAACTCACCATCATCAACCAACGAAAAAATAATACGTATATAGATATACAAAAGGAAAGGGAAACCACCATGCAGCTCTCAATCTCCCTCCCTTTTATGTTGCCATCGTCCATTGTTTGTTATATTATTAGGGTGAAAATGACGTTTGTCATTGGATAAATATACTCAATTTTTTTTTTCAAAATTTCATACAACCAATAAATATAAGGACTGGGCTTCTTGTCTAACTGGAGAGGTGTTGTTCGGTCCGTTGGGCCCATTTTTGGGTCCCGTTTCGATGATCTGAACTATTTATATTTTAGGGTTTGTCGAGTACATTATTCCTATAAAAAATTAAGTCAATCGACTTATTTTTTGCAAAGATGATGTGCTCGATGAATTTTAAAATATGAATGAATCGGATCATCAAAATAGAGCCTAAAAATAAGCCCAATGGACTAAACAACACCTCTTCAATTTGATTAAGGACCAGAGAGAAGTCTCATCCTAGATATAATATGTATATATAAATTTTTATCACATCTATAATTCAAACCTAGTCAGACCAGGTGGAGTTCACCTAGTCTGATATGAATAATAACCTCCTTGACTCTACTATTGAATTCACTAATAGAGTCAGAATGGAATAAAGAAGTTTTGGGAAATATTTTCAAAAGAAAAAGGCACCTTCTTGCTAGGATTGAGGGCATCCAAAAAGTTTTAGCTTATTTTTCCCACAATCTTTATGCTCTTGAAAAAGATCTCATTAATCAACACAATTCTACCCTGTTCCAAGAAGAAATCTTATGGTTTCAGAAATCTAGGGCCAAACATATTACGTTTGGTGATCGGAATACCAAGTACTTTCATATCACCACTATTGCTAAGAGAAGGAAAACCAAAATCAATGCCCTTAAAAATAATGATGGTTCTTGGATTACTGAGACGAATGAAATTAAGACTGTTATCCTTGATTATTTTCAAAATCTCTTTAATGATGAAGGTACCACCCATCTGGACCATTGGTCTAACCTAATTCAAACTCACTTTACTCATGATGATAATATTGGGTTTCTCAAACCCATTTCCAATTCTGATATTCTCAGAGCTGTTCAAAACATTGGTTCATTCAAAGCTCCTAGTAAGGATGGCATTCAGGCCATATTTTATAAGCAATATTGAAACTCTATTGGTCAATCTGTGTGTAATTTTGTCAAAAATTGTTTCCGCAATAAAACTGTGCCTCCCGAGATTAATGAAACTCTTGTTGTGTTGATCCCCAAAGTTGATAACCCTGAAACTATGAAACAATTTAGACCAATAAGTCTCTGCAATGTTGCCTATAAGATTATAACCAAGATCATTGTGGGAAGAATAAGACCCTTTTTAGACAATATTGTTTCTCCCAACCAGAGCAGTTTTATTCCTGGGAGAAATACTACTGATAACGTCATCATCACCCAAGAGATTCTGCATACTTTGAGATATAAAAAAGGCAAGTGTGGTGGCATGATTTTTAAAATTGACTTAGAGAAAGCCTACGATAGATTGTCTTGGGATTTTATCAAAGACACCTTACTTGAATTCAAACTCAACCCTAATTGGGTGGAGTTGATCATGAGCTGTGTCACTAACCAGCACTCATCCATCTTGTGGAATGGGGAAATCATTGATGGGGTTCATAATAGGAGAGGCCTTAGACAAGGTGACCCTCTTTCTCCCTATCTTTTTGTCCTTTGCATGGAACGACTGTCCAATATGATATACTCCAAAGTAAAAAGGGTTCTTGGAAGGGTATCAAGGCCTCTAGAAATAGTCCCTCCCTATCCCATTTGTTCTTTGCGGATGACTTGATCTTGTTTGCTCAAGCTACCCATTCTAATTGTGAAACCATTTTGGATACCCTTTCTGAATTTTGTGCAGTGTCAAGCCAAAAGGTGAATCTCCTGAAGTCTAAACTCTTTTGTCTCTCCTAATGTTCCTAGAAATGTTGCCCAAGCCCTCAGTTATCATAGTGGCATTTCCCTAACTGTTAACCTTGGCAAATACCTTGGCTTCCCTCTTCTTCATCAGAGAATGACTAAGAACCTGTTCACTGAAATCCTTGTTAAGATGAAAGCTCGACTCTCTGGTTAGAAAGCTAGAACTCTCAACTTAGCTGGTAGAGCTACCCTCATTCAAGCCGTCACTTCGACCATCCCTCTTTATACCATGCAAACTGTAGAACTCCCTAGACAGATTTGTGATGACATTGATAGAATTAATAGGAATTTTCTATGGGGTGATACTGAAACTCAAAAAAAAGTCCATTTGGTTAACTGGGACAGCGTTTGCAAAAGTAAAGCCGAGGGTGGCCTTGGTCTTAGGAAGGCTAGGGATCAAAATACAATGCTTCTCATTAAACTTGGATGGAAAATGCTGAGTGAAAAAGATAAACTTTGGTGCAAATTGCTGCACTCTAAGTATTTGAAACACCACAATATATACACTTGGCCCATGATGAAAAATTCTTCACTTTGTTGGAGAAGCATCTGCAAATACAGAGATGTCCTTAGAAAGGGCGTCAAATGGATTGTTGGCAATGGGAAAGACATATCCTTTTGGACAGATTGGTGGTGTAGCAAACAGCCCTTATCTCAATACAACAATATTTATCAAGCTGACAACACTGTTATGGTCAGCTCTGTCCTTGATGAGGAGGGAAATTGGGACACTCATGCTTTATCCAATCTTGTGAGTCAACAAGAACTCAATGAGATTATCAACATTTACGGGCCAAGATTTGTTACTTTCCCTGATGCTCCTACCTGGGCTCCCTCTTTAACTGGTAACTTTACTTCAGCCTCGGCCTATAGTTTCATCACTGATTCTGATCTGGCTAACAGAGACTGGACGTGGATCTGGAAAATTAAGATCCCTCAGAAACTTAGATGTTTCCTTTGGTTGATCTTAAAGGGCAGGTTGATGACTAACCAACTTCGGCTTGTTAGACATATTGCCCCAACTGATATCTGCCCCAGGTGTGGCCAACATAGTGAAGACATGACGCATTTGCTTAGAGAATGTCCTACCTCTAAAGATATTTGGACTCATATTCAAAATCTCACCTGGTGGGAAGAAGGGAATCAACAACCTCTGAATGATTGGATTATTTTGAACATAAAGAACAAAGATATTTTTCATGAAAAAAAATGGTATCTTATCTTCATTGTTACACTGTGGCAAATCTGGAAAGCTCGTAATAAATTGATTTTTGATAACTTGTCCAATCCTATTCAGGTCAATCTCACGAACATTTTTACTTATGTTCATGAAATTGATGAGGCTTTTCATTCCCCTCTTTGCCCCCATTCGGCAGAACCCAAACTAATTCATTGGTGTTGCCCACTTGCAGGTAAGCTTAAAATGAATTCTGGTGGCTGTTCAAAGGGAGATCCAGGCCAAGCAGGTTATGGAGGCGTGTTGCGTGATGAAACAGGCACTTGGATTTGGGGATATTACGGAAAGTTAGGCCACTGTTCCAGCTTAGAAGCAGAAATATGGGCCATATATAGAGGGCTCACCATCCTCTTCCAGAAAAATACCAGAGATGTTCACTTGGAATCAGACTCTGAGCAGGCCATTAACCAAATTCTCCATGGCCCAAACCACAACTCACCATTTAAGGCCCTCATTGAAGATACTAAATTCCTGCTACAGAGGACTAACAGCTCACTTGGCCACACCCTACGTGAGGGTAACAGAGTTGCTGATCGCTTAGCCAATATTGGAGTGTCTCAAAATGAGCATGTTGTAGTCCTTGATAACCCTCCAGCTAAAGTTACTGCCCTGCTTATACAGGACATGACGGGAGTTAGTTTAGTGAGGGACTAGCCCTCTGCCTTCTTGTTATTTTACCTTTTTTGAACTCTTGTTATCTTGTTTCTCTTATTTCATATGAATCTAAAAAAAAATAATTCAAAACTAGTATTATTTTTCGAATATGTTAGATCAAGAACTTATAAATAATGTTTGCTGTACTTGGGTGAATCTAGGGATGATCGCGGATCGGATTAAGTCGGGTGGCATCCCATACGTCATCTATTCAAAATTAGGCAGATTGAAAAAAAACAATCCGCATCCGTCCACCGATTTGGTGGATGTGGATTGAGCGGGCTGTGCGAGTTGGCAGATGGATGTGATCAGTTTGGCAGTTTAGACTTTACAAATTTTGAACATTTTTTTGAATTATAATTCATAACTTCTACAATCTCCAATAACTAGTAATCTGAAAAAATATGTATTATTTGTCTATAATAGTCCATGGCATCACGTATGTATATTTTTAATGTATTATTTTTTATTTTTACAAAAATATATATTTTATTATTCCTACTCTATATTGTTACTTGTTAGTAATTTTTTTTTCTTTGTTTTTTTCTTTTAACATTATTTACGGGCGAATTGGGTTCATGCGGGTGTGGGATGGTTGATTCACCATCCGAATTGTATCTGCAAATTTTAAAAAAATTCTTCCGTATTTATCTGTCGAAAGACACATATCCGTCCAAAATCAATTAAATTAGGTTGGTTTGATCAAGTTGAACGGATTAGACAGATCTATAATAACCCTTAGGTGAATCAATATAAAAATCAAAATAAAAAACAAACAAAAGCAAAATATATCCGATGATAAATAAAATCAGATTAATAGGGAAACGCCCCAAAAATTCATCCACTATTGTCTCATGCACGTTTGTCCATTTTATTGGAGCTTTCAAAATACATACAAGCATTTGGGCTTATAAATGAATGAGGATCATCATCTATCCCTTCTTTGTTTTAAGTTCTCTCTATCATATGATTCGGTTACTTTATGCCGATAAACAAATTTGGAATAAATTATATTCACATTCTTAGATATCTAAAATCTCAATATCATCTTTTGACTCTTTGAAATATTATTGTCCTTTTTACTTCACAAAATTTTGTTTCAATTTAGTCTTTCCATTAATCAACTGTTTGTTGATCGAATACAAAATGATCGCATTTAAAATAATAAGGCATCAAATGCCAAGTTTGCCTCTACAACTACAACCTTTATTTATTTCTCTATTTGGCGCCTTCTTCTTTGTCCATCCATACAGACTCACTCACTCATTTTTTTTTCAATTTATTTCATAGTCCAAACACTTGTCACTACCAATTTACTTACAACAACATCAACTTTTTCTCTCTCATCTTCTTTTCAAACATCATCTGCCATAGTCTTTCCTATCTCAAGAACATCTCAAGCATCCCTTGATTAGTGAATAAAAAATAATTCATTCATGGTGCCCTTTATAACTATAAATATATATATATATATATATATATTTTTCATATTTTCTGAGTTATAATTAAAAAAATTAAAAAAAAAATTAATCAAACATAAAAAATTCACATATAAAATCTTAAAATAATATCATAATTAAAAAAGAAAACGACATAAACTATGGGTGCATAGAGTGTGGAATGTGTATAATAGAATTCTCGTCCATTCATACATTAATTTCAAAAACTCACTTTGTTTGGTTCTAGTTTTCTGAATTTAATTTTTTGAAAATTGAATTTTTTGTTTAACTTTTTAGGGAATTTTTAAAATATTTTTAGTGAGTTTTTTACTTTTTAGATACACTTAATATAAATACAATTAAAAAGTATAATATTTATGAAAAAATCTTTAAAAAATTCACTAAATAATAAAAATACAAAAAAAATAATAATAAACGAATTTTGAATACACTTTTGTATTTTTGTGTATTTATCAATTTTTTAATATATTTTTTTACAAATATTTTACTTTTTAAGCACATCTACATTAGGTGCATCCAAAAAGTAAAAAAATTACTTAAAATATTTAAAAAATCACTAAAAATAAAAATAAAAAACTTAATTTTCATATCACCTCATTAGACCAATATTCATGTGTACATATACATATATATATATATATATATAGGAAAAGTAACCAATAAGTCTTATTTTACTTTTAAGATTACTAATGAGTACTATCAACTTTCAATATAGACAATTAAGTTATAGAAAAATGCCTCATACACCCACTGGGGGTCGACCCCCAGTGAGGTGGCACTCCATTATTGGCCAAAAAAAAAAACTGTTATTATTATTTTTTTTTTTTTTAAGTTTCAACCAGTGGGGGTGCGACACCTCACTGGGGGTGCGACCCCCACTGGGGGTATGTAGCACTGCTGTAAGTTATATTTGTGATAAAAGGTTCCCAAAAATTCATTACTCCATAATGGTGTGTCTTATTCCAATTTTACCCTTCATATTTAATATGAACAATAATTTTATAAATAATTTTAATTTAATTAAAGTTTAGAATTTTAATTGTAAAATTTATTAATATTACACTTATAATTTTGTTTATGAAAAATCATTTAATTCGAACAATTAAAAATAATTTAATTATAAAATTCCTCATAAATTAAAATTTTCAATGAAATTTTTTGTTCATATTTTAATGAAAAGGATAAAATGAAAATAAAATATATTATTATGAACAATTGAATTTTTTTATAACAATTTATAAAATAAAAAAATATTATTTGTTAACATTGAATTTGATAGAACTTAATAATAATTTTCAAAACAAAATAGAACTTACTGATAATTTTTTCATTGTGATTTATGATTTTTTTAATACAATATCATATATTTTACAATTAAAAATATTATTTTACTTAGATTATAAATATTTGTGAAAGTAAAATTGAAACAACATCCACTATTATGGAACAATAAACTTTTTGGAAATATGTAATGGAAAATATGATTTACTTGTTCATATTGAAACTTGATAGAACTTAATAGTAATTTTAAAAGTAAAATAGGACTTATTAGTTATTTTCTCATATATGTATGCATATATCTTTATACATGCGCATATATATATATATATATCTATATAATAAGGGAGAGTGGTTTTTGAATTCTGATGAGACTTTTGTCCCTTTGTCAAAATGTGAATCGTTAGATTGATTCAATCCAACAGCTAAAAAATGTCCAAGAGACAAATTATATTTCAATGGTGGATATACAATGGTGATTCAATCCTACGGTGTCCAAGAGACAAATGCATTTTCTCCTTATATTTCTTCTTTCCTTCCATCCCTTTCTCTTCAGCTAGTTCTCTCTCTCTCTCACTCTCACTCAAAATTCAAAATTGAGTTGTCTCCCTTCCATCCGTTTCTTCAATAGCAGATCGGCGACTTCGCATTCGGTGGGTCCAAATCAGCTTTAATCATCAGTTTCTTAATGCTCAATAGGTCAACTTTCTTGACTATATTTGTTCATTCATCATAAGGTTCTCCAAAAAAATTTGGCACTTCACATACCTGCCCTCTATTTCGAATGAAACCCACCTTAAGTCAATTTCTATTTTCTCTCTCATTATGGGTGATTAGCAGCCAGATTAGTAGGGTTTTCTCTCTCATCTATTTCCTTATAGATTATTGTGTGTATATTTCTTGATTATAGATTTTTTTTGTTTTTTTTCTTTGAAGCCATAGAGATCATCAATTGATCATTAGTGGAATAGAGAAAGAATGATTCCCAAATGAGAGTATTTTTTTTCTTTAATTTTCTAGATGCATGTAGGATTTTGGGTATGAATACTTTTATGGGTTTTGTTGATTTTTCTTATTCACACATATATGAAGAGTTGGTTGGGTTCCACGAAACCCATTTACTTTGATTTAGTAGGAATTTTTGGAACTATTGTATTGAGTTACTCTATTGAATGGTGGTTGTTACTAAAATGTTCGATAACCATTCTATATTTCTTACTTATTAAGTGTTTGATAAAATGTTTTAATGGAATTTACACAAAACAAACCTAATTGATGGTATCCTCTCTCATATTTTTGTTTTTGGTTTGATTTTTTCCTTGCCTATTAAGTGTTTGATAAAATGTTTCAATGGAATTTACTCAAAACAAATCCAGTTGATGGTATCCTCTCTCATATTTTTGTTTTCGATTTGATTTTGTGGAGAAATGGGAATCATCCCAATAATTTTTTAACTTACTTTTGGATAACGGGAATCATCCAACTACCAATATTATTATGATAAAATGTTTCAATGGAATTTACACAACAAATCCAGTTTATGGTATCCTCTCTCATATTTTTATTTTCAGTTTGATTTTGTGGAGAAATGGGAATCATCCCAATAATTTTTTAACTTACTTTTGGATAATGGGAATCATCTAACTACCAATATCATTCTTCTATTGATTTCTACTTCTGGGTCTGTGTTCTGTTATTTTTTTACGATTTTTCTATGTGGGTTTTCTAAGTTTAGGCTTAAGTTACAATGATGTTGTGTATATTTTTTCTTTGTTAGGAATAAACACCATTTCTTTACTTGCATTTAGCTGAACCTTTCAGATTCACTTTTCTAAATTCTATACCTTTCAGATTCACTTTTCTAACATCTATAAAATTTTCATGATACATAAGCATTCAATTTTGCTATAGAATTGTTGATTAACTTCTTCAACATTACCTTTGGTCAGGTAACTAATTGCAAATTTCACTAGAAAGTTGTGGAGGTTGTTTCGTAAAATGCCTCAATTAAAATAGTTTATTTTCTTATGTAATTATACTTTTTTGTTGTTCAAATAGTGAGTGAATCTATCAGGTCAAGTAAATGACAAAACAACCTTTCCTACAGAGAGTTTGATTAACCATGCTTGAATGCACTTAGTGCTGGTAATGTGAATGTCCTAATTGATCAAAGTTATCTTATAGTTTATTCTATATCCCCCCCCTCCAAAAAAAAAATAGTACGTGAATCCATTATAGTTTATTCTACATTCCTCCCAAGTAGTGAATGATACATGCCTTGGATATTTGGTAAGGTTAACAAAAATATAGGTATATTCAAATTGGTGAATCAATCAGTGGGAGTTAGATCTTATTTTTAATAATAAACAGTTGGCAATTTTTAGGGAGTTGATTTTGGATAATGGATAATGGATAATGGAGCTTGCTTGCTTATATTTTTTATTCTTCCTTTTGCTTCAGGTACATATGCCTTTGCTTGAAGGAGTGTTTGATTAGCTCATAAAAAGTTATCATGGCTTTGTTTGCTGCAATGGTTGATTAGGTAATTGGCTTGCCTTCCATTGATGGATTTGTCAATAATTTGTTACTTATGTATTGTTTAACTTGGCTTCATTTTACATGTTATGAAAATTAAGAATCTTAAATTTTTACTAGCTGGGCTTCATTTTACAAGTTGGCTATATTCTAGATTATTAGCTAGATGCAATTTATGTTTTTTGTTCAGAGACGGTAGAGAAGCAAGAACCAAGAAGAGCAAGTACTTGATTTTTTTATGCTGATAATTTGGGTCTTCTATTTTAATTTTTGAATTTCATACAATTTTGATGATAATCATTGCAATAATTTTTACTGTAATTTTAAAAATTAGCATTGTTTAGAAAGACTTTATGTTTGATTTTATTGTTTTTCAAAAACAAGATGTTTTACTTTGTTTTGATTAGATTTGAAAAATTCAGGTTAGACAATGAATGGAAGTGTTGTGTGGGTCTATTAGTGAATGTTTCAAGAAATGGAGATCAATGGTACAACGGCCCTTTTAACAAGTGAGCCTTTTTTTTGTCTTCACAATTTTAGAAGTTTATTTATTTTCTTTTTATTGGAATTTTTCTTCTTGATATAGGTGATTTTGGAGGTGGAAGAGAAATTTAGATTATGTTGATTCAATAGAATAACTTTGCCTATTACTTTTTTCACGCTCTATAACTCTACCAGCGCTTATAATGAATTAAAATTTTAATTTTAAAACTTAGATACTATAGGCACAATTGTATATTCATTTTAAAAAAGATGTGGCAAAAAAATTTGGTTATAATAAATTAAAATTTTGATTGGATGGGTTAGAGTCAATTTTTTTCTTCTTCCCTTTACCCTTGTGACTCTTAACTCTATATATTTTAGTTTCATTGGGTAAAAACTGTCTGTTATTTTTTACAGGAGCTAAACTTATTTTTTCCTTTTTTTTTTTTTCCTCACATTTTTTATTTTACTTTAAGAGTGAGGATTGTAAGTTATGATTTAAAAAAATAAAATAAAATTATGCTTTCAACTCTGCCAGTTATTTTGTAAGAATCTATAAACGATGCTTAGATTGGCTCAATGAGGTCTAGAAAGAATTTGTAAAAAAAAATACTAAAGAGGTCCAGAGTAACAAAAGTCAGTTTTAAGCCAATTGGCCGTTTTGATTTTTCTTCAAATATTTGGTTTTGGAACTACATTAATTCAATAGACCATCTATGTTATTAGTTAGTCATCTTAGAGTAATGAGTGATGGCATAAACTTACTTTATGCTTGAAGCAGTTTAAACCTGCTTTATACTTTTAATTGGATGATTATGCATAATGGTACCTCATAAGTGAAGAAGAAGGTGGTTTCACTTTTAACCCTTAATGTTGGTGAAGTGCCCTCTTAAATGTTGTGGGCAAATTCTCAATTGATGGCTTCTCTTTTTTTGTTTCAACTATTCACTTTTGTATTTATTTATTTTATTTTATTTTGTGTTAAAAAAAAAATAAAGTTATCTGAAAATGATCCTGTAGAAAATAATCCTGTACAAACATTAATGGTACTTTGATTAATTGTTTTATTTTCTTTGTTTTGATTGCTATATTTCTATAAATCAATTTCTAATATCTGATTTCGTCTTGCTACAGTTCATCAGTTTTTATAATGAAAGGTATTCAATTTTTTGATTTCTTTGATAATATTTTTCATTAAAGTTTTGATAAATATGTCATTTCCTTTCTCCCTCTAATCATTAGTTTTCTCCAAAGTTTTAGTTTGTTACTTTCTATTATTTTCATATTGTGCTGTGTTTTTTTGCTGGTGGTCATCAATTTCTAGATTCTCAATATAAGAGCATTCTCCTCAAACTAGCTAAATTTGTTTTTTAGCTAAATTAGTGATACTGTTCATCAAAAATAGACGTGTATCAGTCTCGCTACTGTTCATCGCTAATTTATGAGTGCTACAGTACCTCGCTACACCAAGCAAGGTACTGTTCATCACTACAACACAGAGATTAGTGTTACTGAATGTCCGCTCGAAAGTCTAGCCGGTCAACTGGTCAACGACTTTTTTTTTTTTTTTTGCATTTTTTAAGAATTATTTGGTTTGTAACTCATCAATTTAATAAAAAAGAAGAAAGAATAACAAACACAATAAGAAAATAATATTTTAATAAAATTAAGTTAGAATAGAGAGTTTGATGCAGTAGGTACCAAAGAGATGACTAGCTAAAATAGTAAAATAGTTTTTTTAGCTATAATTTGGCTAAAATTTTGAAGAGGCTAATGTGGATGCTCTAATCAAAGGTATAACCCTTTCACGCAATTTTTCTTTATAATATCTATTTCATTACTCATATAATTTTGATAAAAGTTAAATTTTTTGGTTTGTTACTTTTGTAATTATATTTTAAACAAAGCTCTCTTTCCATTTGCATAAAAAATAGGCAAAATGGGGCTAATGAGCAGTAAACCATGATTTAAAAAAAAAATAGTATTGCTGAAATTTTTTGCTTTCATTTGCTTTTTCCACTAGATTATTTTTCTTAATATTTCTTTCTTTCTTATGGAGCTTAGTAAAGGGTGTTGTAGTAGTCTTTGTAGCTTTTCTGTGAGTGGTTTTGGTGAATGTTAAAGTAGTGGAATGAAATAGACTAGATTGGTATGACCCATGCACTGTACACTAGATTTCTTTTCTCCCCATAAGAAAGTGTTGGCTTGGCCATTACATATTTTTGTGATTGTTGGGAGTATGTGTTGAAGATTTAAACCAAAAAGAAAATGTGCATAATGAGGATTGAAAAAAAGAAAAGGAAAGATAAACATAGATAAATCTCTTCTTTTTTTTTCCTTTTTTTTTTGGTGGTGAACACACAGACTAATCTTTGTAACAAAATAAATGCCTTTCTTAAGACAATATACATTGGTGAATTTTGAGTTACTTTGGAAATAACTTTGTGCTAAGTTTTGGAATCCCCTATTGTCAAAATAAAATTGATGTCTAATTGTCTCTTAAATTGGTTTTTTTGCTCATATATTTTCAGGATTTATAAATTCACATTTTATTTAAGAGAAAACTAAAGTTGTAGGTTCTTTTTTCCTCTCTATTTCCGTCTTCTCTTTTTTTAACCTCTTGGAATATGAGGACAACAAAATCATGGTACAAAGCTTTTGTTGTCGCATTGTTCTTCTTGCCTGGTTTAGTTAGTAAAGGAAAACAAGTATTTTCATTTTTTGTCAAGTATATGGTAAATGTAGTAAAACTAGACAAGAAAACATGTGAAGAAAGTGAGTTAGACTGTGTATGATGACAATTGGTGTCCGATAAATGATAGATGCTTTTGAATAGTTAGAAAGTTTATTACGGCATCGTTTGGGAAGGAAATGTTGGGCTATTTTAGCCAAGTGAGGACAAAGCAGGCTAATTAGCCAAGTGAGGACAAAAAGTTGTTTTGGTGCTGGGCAACAATCAAGGGCAACGTAAATTTACGAAATTACCCCACATGAATTATGGGCAACGCCTCAACACATGAAAAGTAAAAAAAAAAAACTTTTTCCCAAAAAAATCCTTTTCCCAGGAAAAAACAAAGAAAGTTGAAAAAAAAATTAAAAACATTTTCTTGTTTTTTGTTAAAATATTTTCTAAAAATAAATTCAAACTCTATTTATAAAAATATTTTTAAATATTTTAATTTTTTTGTTATGTATTTGGTTATGATTTGATTGTAGAGTTGTGAAAGTAGTATGGAGTTTCGAGTTATGTGTTTGGTTACGAGTTTTAAAAATAATTTATTAATTGAGTTTTATTTTATGTGTTTGGTTATGATTTGAGTGTAAAGTTGTTTTCAAATTGAAAATATTAACATTTTAAATTATTTAAATTTTTTTGAATATTTAAATTATTTAAATTTTTACGATTTAAATTTTTTGAATATTTATTTTATTAATTGAGTTTTATTTTATGTGTTTGGCTACGATTTGAGTGTAGAGTTGTTTTTAAATTTAAAATATTAACATTTTAAATTATTTAAATTTTTTGTTATGTATTTGGTTATGATTTGAGTGTAGAGTTGTGAAAGTAGTATGGAATTTCAAGTTATGTGTTTGGTTATGAGTTACCTCAATAATTTATGAATTGAGTTTCATTTTATGTGTTTGGTTACGACTTGAGTGTAGAGTTGTTTTTAAATTTAAAATATTAACATTTAAAATTATTTAAATTTAAAACAAAATTTTTAAATTTTTTTGTTAAAATAATTTTTTGAATATTTATTTTAAATTTTTTACTTATTCAATTTTTTAGATTATTTACATTATTTAAATATTTAAAATTAAATTAAAATTAAAATTAAAAATTAATTAAGTTTTGTTTTATGTGTTTGGTTACGATTTGAGTGTAGAGTTGTTTTTAAATTAAAAATATTAACATTTTAAATTATTTAAATTTTTTGAATATTTAAATATGTAAAATAAAATTGAATAAAATTAAAATTAAATTATTTACAATACACAGGACAATTATTTAAAACCTCACTTTTTGTCATTGTACAGAAAATGAAAAACAAAAATAAAAATAAAAAACACATGAAAAAACCATTTGAAAAAAAAAAAAAGACCTTAAAATACACAGGACAATTATTTAAAACTTCACTTTTTATCATTTTACAGAAAATTTTAAAAAAATAATTTTAAAATCAACATAAAAAAACACATGAAAAAACCAAGACCAAAAAAAAAACAAACAAAACCAAATTAATGTAATAAAAAAAATGACCAAAAAAAACCATTTGGGTCAACAATTCCATAGCACAGCCGCCGAAATAAAAATAAAATTTAAAAAAAAAAGAAAAGGGAAAGTGAGTGGTGACGTTACAGTTGGACAAAATTAGTTGCAGGGGCAGTTTAGTAATATTACATATGGACACCTCACCAAAAAGTCAAAAAGCCAAAAAAGTGAAAAAGCCCTTCCCAAACCAGGCTTTTTAGCCTCAGGCTAAAATTGCCAAAAAAGTCAAAAAGCCAACCCACTTCCCAAACGGAGGCTACATACTATGTGACGTTGATTTGAAAATACTGAACATTGACATTTTTGCTTTAATCCATCTAATCTAACATTATTAGTATTTTTCACATTTAATTTTTTTTTTTTAATTTCAGGTATCGATACTAGAATGGCTATTGAACGACTTTCAAATCCTTAGGGCAACAATTTTATTTTTAAAATTGTCTTAGTTAATGTAATTGATGGCTTCTTACATTAATCATCTTTGCAATAACTCTTTGGTTTAGCCACATTCAACCATTATATGAATGCGATGATTTTTGTTTGACAACTTATTTGGGTAAGTTGGATCAAAGAATGGATTTACTCGACTCAGGTTTGGATGTATATTCTATATGCCTTTCAAGTTTAGAGTTTCACAAAGTGTATGAGTGGTTGAAAGGAGAGTGCCTTTAGGCACGGATGAAAATATTGTTGAAATTATGCACCAATTATGTAGATAAAATTATATAGGCACCAATTATGTAGATAAAATTATAAAATTATATGCCTTTCAAGTTTATATAAAATTATTTTGTGGTGTTTAGTAATTTTTTTCTTTTTATTATAGAATGCTAACGAGTATACAATAGCTTTGATTTTTGTATTTTGTTTAGTGTTTATAATTTTTTTTACTTGCTCTTATATTTTGATTTGCAATATTGGTAAACTTTATAAAACTTATGTTTTTTTAACGCTATAAAACTTATATTTTTGTTTCTTAATTTGTATTAAGGTTAGGGAGAGTTGTTATTTCATTTGAGTTCTGTACAGTGTGTGGTACAAGCAGAATTGTTACGAGTTCTTTAAGAAGAATAATATTTCTTTATATTTTTTTAGTATCTTTATTAAAAAATGACACAAACTTCATAAATTTCAATATGATACTTATAAATTACAATTGCATTTTAATCTCAATATTATTTACACCATGCCTTTAGGCACGGGCATACACTAATATATATATATATATATAAACTGATTCATTAAAGAAAAAAGAAAAAGGAAAGACAAGTGAAGAGCTGCAAATGTGTGTTGAAGAGTATGGGCGCTATGATAAATTTATCATGTCATAAAATGATATTATCTAATTAGGAAAATTACAAATATATTTTTTAAAATTTACTTTAAAACATAGATTACCTCTAGGGGTTATGAAAATTATAAATATCTCATTATCATAATTTTTTATTTAATAGAATTAATAAATAAAATAAAATTTCTAAACTACTCTCTTATACAAAATAAAATTGTAAGAATTGTTAATTAAAATATATTTCTCATATCATTAAAAATTATTAATTAACTTAATAATTTATTAATAAAAGGGGGCTTTGTCATGCAATTAGAAAATTGAAGGAACGAGATGTAATTTTTTAAATTAAAAGAAGCAATTTATATTTTAAATAAATTTTAAGAGATGCATTTATAATTTACTCTATCTAATAAGATAGGACAACGATATTTCAAAAAAAAAAAAAAAAAAAAGAAGAAAAAGGTACCAATGTAATTTGAGAGTTATACCAGGAGTACAAGTGTAATTTAGCCAAAAATTAATGTTTGACAAACCGGGTCTGTGAATTGAGTCCATGTTCTTTCTTTGGATCACTCTATTCGGCTCCTTATTTGGTGAGCCATTGGGCTCACTTTTTGATTCAATTTCAATGATTCAAATTATTCATATTTTTTAATTTATCGAGTATATTATACTTATAAAAAATTAAGTCGATCAGATATGAGAACTACGTGTTCGAATCATCGAACTAAAAGATTTATTAAAAAATATTTTAATTCGATGATTCGAACACATGATTTCCGATATCTAATCGATTTAATTTTTTATAGGTATAATATACTCGACAAATTTAAAAATATGAATGTTTCGAATTCTTAAAATTAACCCCAAAAATGGGTCTCCAATGGGAAGATCCTTGCTCCTGTGAATTTGCTATATAGTTTGTCCAGCCAACCATAAGAAAAGTTCTTTATCAAACTTCCTTTTAAAACATCGGAAACAATTTTTTTAATATTATCTATGTATATCAAGCTGTTGGGACATACCCCCATTGTTTATTTTTTTAGGTTGAACATATAGTTAGTGTTTATTTAAAAAATAAATAAAATTGATTGAACATATAGTTAGTGTTTATTTAAAATTATATAAAGATAGTAGAACTTGAATTTAGGATTACAGATGAACAGAGCAGTTCATGAACAAAATCTACACTGGCTCGGTAAAAACTCGTTCGAACTCAGTTTGTTAAATTTTTATTTTTTTAATTTTTTGCATTCGAGCTCGTTAAAATTTTAATAAATATGTCTAAACATACTAAAACTCATCTCATAAACTTAGATCGTTAGTTGGCTCGTTTAATGTTTATTATTTATATATGTAAAAATATGTATAAAAAATAAGATAAATATGTTATTTGTATATTTAAAAATTATAAATGTGAATAATAGCTAATTATAGATAATATATTTATATAATTTGGATAGTGGTGGTAAATATTATTATTTGGATATAATTTTAACTTTTTTTAGTATGTTTATATATTGTATGTATAATTATATAATTAAAATTTTAATTGTAACTTTAATCTCGTATGTAATCATAAATTTATAATTTTTTTGACTCATTAAAACTCGTGAATAGACTAAAGCTTAAGTCAGACTCAAGCTAACTCGGCTCAGTCTTGGTTCATTAAATTTTTATTAAGATTGAGATTGAACTCATTAAAATCTTAATAAACAAGTCAACACATACATTCATCAAAAAAAAAAAAAAAAAAAAGATTCAACACATGCTAAAACTTGGCTTCATTTGTTCGTTTACAGCCCTACCTGAACCACATACTTTTACTCTAAAAAATAATATTTTTATTATTTGAATGATACATAAATATATATTTTAAAATTAAAATTTCTATTTTATATATTTAACAACATACCATTGGGCGAGCAAGTTCTTTATCGGAAAAATTATCAGAAAGTTTCATATGAGAATCAATTACTCCTAACAGTCTCATGAATTTTTTAATATATTGATAAGTTATATTTGTTTTGATAATTTTATTATGAGATCCTATTTTAAATTTTGGTATGGTTTGGTGAACATTTATATCCTTCCTTATTGGGGAACGCCAGCTTTAGAGAAGTTAGATCCAATTTTTGGATCACGTCTCGTCACTCCAATGTAACAACGTAAAACACTAAAAAGCTCTTTAGTGTACTTTAAAAAAACGTAACACTCCTCCACCGTAGTACTAAAATACTCTTCCAACATTCTAATGTAACACACTAAAAAATTTCTTAGTGTATTTTTTCTAAATGTAATACTCCAACAACATAACACATTAAAAAACACCTCCAACTTAACACTCAATGTTACACACTACACTAAAAACTTCTTAGTGTATTTTTTACAAACATAACACTCCTCCAATGTAACACACTAAAAAATTCATCAATCATAACATTTCAACATAACTTACTAAAAGACTTTTTAGTATACTTTTTCCAAACGTAACACTTTAGGCTTTGTTTGGGAAGCCATGGTTTGGGCTTTTTTGGCTATTTTAGCCACAAAAAATAAAATAGGTTATTTTAGCCATAACAAACAAAACATCACATCTAACCCATAATCATTATATTCTTCTCTCACAAAAAAACTCAAAAAAGCCAAAAAGCCCTTCCCAAACCAAGCTTTTAAGCCCAGGTTAAAATAGCAAAAAAAGTCAAAAAACCAAAAAGCCAGCCCACTTCCCAAACGGAGGCTTAAAGTAACACTAACACACTAAAAAATTTGTTAGCGTACTTTTTCCAAACGTAATACTTTAATGTAACTCTCCAAATGTAACACTCTAATGTGATGGGCAAATAAGTTATTACACTTCCAAAAAAGACTAAAAAAAATATAGAATTATATGAATCACAAATCCAAAATATAAAACTTATTGGTCAATCTCAAGTTCTTTATCAAACTTCCTTTTAAAAAATAGAAAATAGCTTTTTTTTTGTGTAAATTATACTTTTTGTCTACTTATGTTTCATTACTTTCCTATTTTGGTTTTTAAAATTTATTTTTTATCACTTTAGTTTTTAAAGTTTATTTTTTTCACTTTCATCCTTCATATTTTAAGTTTTTTTTTTTTTTGATATTTGCACGTAAAACTAATTGTTATTAAAAATTAGACAGAAAATAACACATTAAAAATCATGTGACATAAAAAATATTTTATTATATATAATTCATATATTTAATGCAAACTCAAATTCTAATATAATAATTTATTTGTTTTTTATAATGTGACAGTTATTATAACATTTTCTATCTAATTTAGAATAAAAAATAACTTTAAGAGTAAATAAAAAAATAGTAGATAAAGGTCAAAAATAAAAAAATAACCAAATATAAAGAGACAAAATATAATTTACATTAAAAAAATACATCTATGGCTATATATATCTTATGTTTTATTTTGGAGGGTGAGGATTAAAGAAAAGAAGGAATATGGAAAATGGAATAAAATACTTTAAATACAGTACACTTTCCACATTCCACATTTACAGGAGAGAGAAAATAAAAATATGAGAGAGGCGCTGTTAGCAGTCTCTGAGAATAGTCTTTCGTTTCGCAGCGATTCGGGTATGCCGGGTCTAGGGTTCCTCTGAAACATCTCTCCTTTTTCTTTCAGGTATACAGATTCCTTACCCTAACCCTAATCCTAACTCTAACTGTCCTCACATCATGCACACCTTACTTCCATATTCAATCTACTTTGCGTTTATTATCGGGTTTTTTTAAAATTTTCGCTGCTTGATTTTTAATCAATCCCATTATGTTTCGTTTTGATATCCGTATCTGTATTTTCCGATTGAAATGATCTTGAGCTGATTTTTCGTCTCCCGTTTTGATTTCAAATTGAATTTGTTATTTGCCTTTTTTTTTTTTTTTTTTTTTTTGATTTGTGATTTTCGTTTTGACAGTAGTGTTTCTAGATCTTACATTCTTTTGTAACTGTTGAGAAAATAGTTAAGAAATCTTTAATCTTTGTTTTGATTGTGAACTCTCTTTTGGGATAATTGGATTTGGCTTAATCAGATATCATACAAGTGCTAATTTGCTCGGAGTTTACTTAATTAATTAATTAATTAATTTTTTTTCTCTTTTCTTGATTGAATATTTTTATTGTGGACTTTGATCTTCTTTTCTAATTTTGATAGAAATTACTGGGACTAGGGTTTGAATTTGGTCGAGGAAGTGTGGAGTTTTGGAAATAAATAACAATGACTTGGTTTAGAGCTGGATCTAGTGTTGCGAAGCTTGCAATTAGGAGAACTCTGTCGAAGGGTGGATCCTATGCTGCACGATCGCGGGTCATCCCTGCCCAAAATCATTATTTTCATACAACAGTTTTCAAATCAAAGGCACAAGCGGCACCTGTGCCTCGCCCTGTGCCGCTTTCTAGGTTGACTGATAGCTTCTTAGATGGGACGAGCAGTGTATACCTAGAGGAGCTCCAGAGGGCTTGGGAGGAGGATCCCAACAGTGTTGATGAGTCATGGGACAATTTCTTTAGGAACTTTGTTGGGCAGGCAGCCACATTGCCTGGAATCTCCGGCCAAACCATTCAAGAGAGCATGAGGTTGTTGTTGTTTGTGAGGGCTTACCAGGTTAATGGTCACATGAAAGCTAAGTTAGACCCGTTGGGTTTGGAGGAACGGGAAATTCCTGATGACTTAGATCCAGCTCTTTATGGGTTCACAGATGCTGATCTTGATCGGGAATTCTTTCTTGGCGTATGGAGGATGTCTGGGTTTTTGTCTGAAAACCGTCCCGTGCAAACCCTGAGAGCAATATTGACCCGGCTTGAGCAGGCTTACTGTGGGACCATTGGTTATGAATACATGCACATTGCTGATCGTGATAAATGTAACTGGTTGAGAGACAAAATTGAAACTCCAACACCAATGCAGTACAATCGGCAGCGTCGTGAGGTTATGCTTGACCGACTCATATGGAGCACACAGTTTGAGAACTTCTTGGCCACTAAGTGGACAGCAGCGAAGAGGTTTGGCCTTGAAGGTGCTGAGACTTTAATTCCCGGCATGAAGGAGATGTTTGACAGGGCAGCTGATCTTAGGGTTGAGAGTATTGTTATTGGAATGTCACACAGGGGAAGATTGAATGTTCTGGGTAATGTTGTTCGGAAGCCACTACGACAGATCTTCAGTGAGTTTAGTGGTGGGACGCGGCCTGTGGATGAAGTTGGGCTTTACACAGGAACTGGTGATGTCAAGTATCACCTGGGAACTTCGTATGATCGGCCAACTAGGGGTGGGAACAGAATTCATTTGTCTTTGGTTGCAAACCCAAGTCACTTGGAAGCTGTAGATCCAGTTGTTGCTGGGAAAACTAGAGCAAAACAATATTATTCAAAGGATGTGGATAGGACAAAGAATGTGGGTATTTTAATTCATGGGGATGGTAGCTTTGCGGGACAAGGTGTGGTATATGAGACCCTTCATCTTAGTGCACTTCCAAATTACACTACTGGGGGTACTATACACATTGTGGTGAACAATCAAGTCGCCTTCACTACGGATCCAATGTCCGGAAGATCTTCTCAATATTGTACCGATGTTGCCAAAGCCTTGAATGCCCCCATCTTTCATGTCAATGGTGATGATTTGGAGGCAGTTGTTCATGTTTGTGAACTTGCAGCAGAGTGGCGCCAGACATTCCATTCAGATGTTGTAGTTGATATAGTGTGTTACCGTCGATTTGGTCACAATGAGACTGATGAGCCGTCTTTCACACAGCCCAAAATGTACAAGGTTAGCCTTGTATTCTGATGTTCTCTAGAATTCATCACTCTTGTTAGACTCTCAATTTTGTTCCTTTCGAATATGTTTCTGGCTTTTACATTACATTGATTTGCCGCCTTCTTACACAGTGTACCCTGCTAACTTTTTATTATTTAGTTTTTATCAAGACTTTTAACTGGGTATTATTAACATCTATCTGACTATGGCAAGTAAAATTTCTTATATTTCTGATGTGGAATGGGTTTCTAATAGGTCATCCGGAATCACCCCTCTGCACTTGAGATTTACCAAAAGAAACTTCTAGACTCTGGTCAGGCGACAAAGGAAGACATTGATAAGATACATAAAAAGGTCAATACAATCCTCAATGAAGAATTCTTGGCCAGCAAAGATTATGTTCCAAAAAGAAGGGACTGGCTTTCAGCTTATTGGCTGGGATTCAAGTCCCCAGAACAGCTTTCACGTGTCCGAAACACTGGGTATGTTGTCTGACTTTTTCTGTAAGGTTTTTAATTTTCATTTCTTTGCTCAATATTTTATGCTGTCCTTCAGGGTCAAGCCAGAGATTTTGAAGAATGTTGGCAAAGCAATCACAACCCTTCCAGATGGTTTTAAACCCCACAGAGCAGTGAAGAAGATATTTGGTCATCGAGCACAGATGATTGAAACTGGGGAGGGCATTGATTGGGCAGTTGGTGAAGCACTTGCTTTTGCTACATTGCTCGTAGAAGGAAATCATGTCAGGTTGAGTGGTCAGGATGTCGAGAGAGGTACTTTCAGTCACAGGCATTCTGTACTACATGATCAAGAAACCGGGGAGAAGTACTGTCCTTTAGACCATGTTATCATAAACCAAAATGAGGAGTTGTTTACTGTCAGCAACAGGTAAATTGTGGTGTCATTTCTACCCTATCATATATTCAACTTTTATTCTGCCACAATTTCTTATCTCTTTATTGTAGTTCTTATTTTTCTGTGTCATTTGAGATCTACTATGAATGTCTGTTTGGATGAAAATATCATAATTTGTAGCAATCAAATGTGTCATTTCATCGTGCATTGTTGGACTCATCTCTATTATTATGATTTTTATGAATAAAACCATCAAGAAATAGAAGGGTGCTGCATGTACCTAAGAAATGAAACATCTTATATCCTGTGTGTAAGCTTTAGTTCATCCCTTGGAAGTTTTGTGTTCTCTCTATCATTACTTTTGTTACTCAACTGTGAGTTTGTTTTATGATGTTCTGGCAATCCTGAAGTCAGGGCCAGTTTTACATAGCACTCTGACTCATTTTATATTAAATTGTAAAAGACAACTTCTCTTTTATTGCCTAATTCACAACACATTGTTACGGGCTTTCTACTCCCTTGGCTCTTTTGGTAACATACATTCATAGTTGTCAAATCGGGATTCGTATCATGAATCGAAATAACCTCGTCTCAAATCGTGAATCGTAAAGATTTGGTCACTTTTTTAAAATTACTTAAAAACATATATCTACACATTTAGATGATAAATATTTCTTATGAATATGAAATAATTAGAATTAAATTAATAAAAATGTTATTTTGAATGATAATCACGTAGTTTAATAGGTAAGAACTTAATAAAGGTTCCTATGTAAGATCACTATTTTACCTTTTTTTCTTTTATAGATATTTCTTATCAACCATTCTTAATAAAGATAATAACCAAATTGACAAATTATCAATTTTCAAGGTAATAATAATTAACATTGATATTGATATTTGGATAATAAGCATACACACTTTTCTAAGTAATAGTAAGTAATAAGAAAGAATTATTTAGAATATTTTATTTTAAAGCCTAAAACATTTTAAAAGGTATAACTGGCCTTACACATGTAATATTCAATTATATTCAATTTAATAAAATAGCAATAGATAATTCATAGTGTAATTTTAATCTTAAATATCTTTAGAAGATATATTACATTTTTTAGGGGGGGGAAATGAGAAGAAAGGTTAAAAATATATTGGATTTGACTGAATCTGATTGAATTTTATTAAAAACTCCATGATCACTAAAATAACAATAAATTATGTATATATGTTGGTTATCTTGGTATTAAATGCTATTAGAAGTTATGTTATGTCATTTCACTAAAAAGATGGAGAAAAAAAAAGTCAAAAATATGTCGGACGCAATAATTTCTAAAATTGCATGAATCGTAAAAAGTGAATCGAAGTTGGTTTTAGCTCGGAATTTTGGCTATTTTGCAGTTGTGCTTCAAGGGTAAGCATCTCTCTATTTTAAGCTCATTTTTGTACACTATCTTGGCCAACTTTGCATGCTTGTTTTGCAACCCTTTCAAACTATTTTTGTCTTGGTTTTGAACTGAAAAAAAAAAAATTCAGTCCTCAAAGTGGTGGTTTAAGCATTGTTTGGCTAGGGGGGGTCCCCCCCCCCCCCCCCCCCTTCTCTTCTTATTTGTCATCCCTGCACATTTAAAAGTTGATAATCATTTTATGTACTTATAAAAGTGAAGTGGTTACACTTTTTTGATGGTTTTCTTAAATTCTATTAAATATTGAATTGTTCCTCTGGTAGACATGTCGATGTCATGTTATGATATTCATATAGTAATTTCAATACTGTCCTAGATGTTTTCATCTTTTGATACCACTTCCCCAAATATTTTTTAGTCATCTCATGGGAAATTTTTGTTGTGTTCAAGCTTTGATAAAATTATATTTAGGAAATTAAACTCCCATGGTATGCAGGACAAAACATCAATTTGTATGGCATCAATGAAACACATGTGAAGGTTACATATCAAGAATAGTAGAATTTGAGAAATTCGAAAGGATCCTATGGTCTATGGTGTATAGTTTTTCCAATTTTGGTTCACTTATCATGTTGCTGCTGCTGCTGCTGCTAGAGTGATGTTTTTCTTTTTTTCCTATTGTGATAGCTGCCTCTGATTGCAGGGGCCATTTGAATTGATGTACCAGACTGTTAACTGGTGCTGTGTCTAGGTTTTTTTATTACAAAGATTAAGGGGGAATTACTATGTAGTGTAATAGACCAAAAGTAATTACTGGGGGTTTCTTGCGCAGGAAGAGTTGCATCCCCCCATGTTTGAATAGTTAGTTTTGATCTATTACACTGGAGTAATTTCCCTGAAAGATAATGGTATTCTTCCAGATAGCAAATTTCAATCATACAAGTCATTCTGCTGAGGCACTCTTCAGCTGTACCTGAACTGAAGATGTGCCTATGCTGTTCCCTATTCTGCTGATTTTGCAAAAGTATGATATAGGCTACGTTCTTTATCTGTGAGATGTTTGGACTGCATTTCTGCATGCAATGTATTAAGATCCCTTAGGCCCTTCAGGTTTTTTTTGTTGCACTGCTATTTATTTGATCCAGAGTTTGACCCTCTCTTTTTGTGACTGGTATGTTGCGATAGAGAACATAATTTATGCTAAATCTGGACAGCCATTATGCAACCTTTATTTGAATTATAACATAGTACTGTTTGTGATGTTGGTGCTTCTTTTACAAGGTTTGCCCCTATTTAAGAGCCATTTTTTTCCTGTTCCAGCTCTCTTTCTGAGTTCGGTGTTCTGGGATTTGAATTGGGTTATGCGATGGAAAATCCAAATGCATTGGTAATGTGGGAAGCCCAATTTGGTGATTTTGCTAATGGAGCTCAGGTGATTTTTGATCAGTTTTTGAGCAGTGGGGAGGCAAAGTGGTTACGTCAAACTGGGCTTGTTGTCCTGCTACCTCATGGTTATGATGGCCAAGGGCCTGAACATTCAAGTGCACGGTTGGAGCGTTTCCTTCAGGTATTGCAGTGTTAATGTTTATATATCATATTTACTAGTCCCTCTCTCAGGCACTTGCACACACTTGTGTAATACCTCATCCCAATTCGTGGAGATTGCTGAATGACCTGGCATATAGTGCAAGCTTGAGGATCGTTGTCTCTGATTCTTGCCTTGCTTAGTAAACCATTCATTGCTTGATTGGTATTTTTCTTTGAATACTTTTGCAATAATAGATCTTCTATAAATTTTGATGACAGATGAGTGATGATAATCCCTTTGTCATACCGGAGATGGATCCAACACTTCGAACGCAGATCCAAGAATGTAATTGGCAAGTTGTGAATGTGACAACTCCTGCAAATTATTTCCATGTTCTGCGGCGTCAAGTGAGTGCAGCTAGTATAATATTTCTTCAAACTCGTTGACAACATTTTTTTGCAAGTATTATTTTTTGTACACAGCATTCTTTTTTTTCGTTCTTATATTAAATATTTTGTCTTCATCTTCCAGATACACAGGGAATTCCGTAAGCCTCTCATTGTGATGTCCCCAAAGAACTTGCTTCGGCACAAGGACTGCAAATCCAATCTATCTGAATTTGATGATGTCCAAGGTCACCCAGGTTTTGACAAACAAGGAACCAGATTTAAGCGTCTTATAAAGGACCAGAACGACCACTCAGATCTCGAGGAGGGTATCAGACGTCTCGTTCTTTGTTCTGGAAAGGTGTGTAACATACTTATTTTTCCTCCACACTGAATCATTGTTGTGTTGTATTTGTTAGAACTGAACCCAGTAGGTATTCTTTAAACTCCACCCGACCTTTCATGCACATGGATCTGTGATTAGAAATATATGGGCACTGTGCGAACACTTCAACAGAGAAATGATGAGGAAGTGTGAATATCTATTTTATTGCATTGTAGAGACCAAGTTTGTTCGTTTTATATTTTCTTTGTGTGTGTTCAAATTGCTATTTGAATAATTCTTGCGCATTATCTTTCAGGTTTATTATGAGCTCGATGAGGAGAGGAGGAAAGTTGAAGGAAAGGACATTGCAATATGTAGGGTGGAACAGCTTTGCCCCTTCCCATATGACCTCATCCAGCGTGAGCTGAAGCGATATCCAAGTATGTATTTCGAACTTGCCACCGAAGACATTACTATTAATATTCTTGTAACAAAAAATCGTTTCTTGTATATTAATACATTTATGCTTCCTCTTAGATCAATGTTGTGATTCACAATGTCCAGTAACCATTCATCCATGTTGGACATTGGAATTTGGATGCGCCCCCATGCTGCATTTTATCTAGTGAAATGTGAAAATTTTCCCCTATGGACGATTGTTTTCAACTTGAAAAGGGTTCTATTTGAACAAATATTTTAGTTTCTAGGGACGTAGAATTGACCTGAAGTGTGCTAGGGTCCTTTCAAAACCACGTGGTTAAGCTACTCATGTTTGTCATGATTCTTTCAGATGCGGAGATCGTTTGGTGCCAGGAAGAGGCAATGAACATGGGTGCATACAGTTACATAGCACCCCGCCTTAGCACAGCGATGAAAGCACTGGGCAGGGGTGGAATGGATGATATAAAATATGTTGGTCGGGCTCCTTCTGCCGCCACAGCCACTGGGTTCTATCAGATGCACGTGAAGGAGCAGACAGAACTGGTTCAGAAAGCTATGCAGCCTGAACCTGTCAGTTATCCTTGATTTGGAAAATTCTTCAGTGAAATTCTTCTGCGTTTTTAAAGAAAGACACTTGATACTAATTTTATTTTCTTTCATAATTTCCTCTCGCACAAAATGAATTTGTGCTTCCTGATAAATATATGTGATCTCAGGGACTACTTAAAAAGGATGTGTCTAGGAATAAAATTTTGCTAGTGGAATTCATCTATGGGGAATTTTATTGGCATGCATCTCAGGAACAACATAATCTAGTTGTATTTTTGAGTGGATTTGTTTGTGCTTTTGCTAGAGCGCTATTTTATTTATTTTTTATTTGGGTAAATTGCACTGACACCTTATGAGGTTTATGTTTATTACAGTTCCCTCCTTCACCTTTTTGGAAATTACTTCTCTCTTCCTGAGGTTTAAAGTTTTATTATAGATTTTTTCTCAGCAATTTAATTTTTTTAAATATCAATTTTGCTCTCACTAGGTAAATTATATTGACACCCCTCACGTTTTAGAAATTATAATCCCCTACCTAAGGTTTAAAGTAGCATTATCAATTGTTTCCGGTTTGTATTATTTGGAAAAAAGATTCATTGAAAAAAAAAATTAATTGAAAAAAATTTTTGTTAGTAAAATTTTTTAATTTTTGTTTAAAAATTAACGTAAATTCATTTTTTAAATTTATGTTGTTTCTTTAAATTTATAATCTGAGGTAACCATTTAAAAAATAATAATTTTTTACAAAAATAAAAAATAATTGTCATTTTTATATAATTTTTATTTTTCGAGTAGTTAGAAATATTTTTTTATAAATTAAATTGAAACAACCATATGTATGTATATAACCTGTTTAAAAATTAAAATGGTAATTATTTTTTACCTTTAAATGATAATTATTTTTTATTTTTTATTTCTTAATCAAATTAATTTTTAATTTTTAATTTTTTTTTAAAAAATCAAACCATATATAGCCTAAGAATCTTTTGATAAATCATTTCTTACGTTGGTAACTTATTTAATTATTTGTTAATTTTACGACATTTTTACCATCTGAGGCTTGTTTGGTAACCATTTCGTTTTCAGTTTTCAATTTATATTTACAAAAATTTTAAAAACTGTCATAAAAACTTGTTTGATAATTTTTTTAATTTATAAATTGTTGTCTTAGCTTGTAAATTTGAGGAAAAAAAATGTAAATTCAAAAAATGAGTTTACGTTGGTTTTTAAACAGAAATTTAAAAATTTTACTAATGAAATTTTTTTCAATTAAGTTTTTTTTTCAAATAATTTTTTTTCAATGAATTTTTTTTCCAACTAATACTAACTGAGGGGGCAATTGATAATGCTACTTTAAACTTTAGGGAAGGGATTGTAATTTCTAAAATGTGAGGGGTGTCAATGTAATTTACCCAGTGAGGGCAAAATTGGTATTTAAAAAAATTAAATTGCTGAGGGAGAATCTGTAATGAAACTTTAAACCAGAGAGAGGGAGAAATAATTCCCAAAAGGTGAGAAGAATTGTAATAAATATAAACCTCAGGGTGTTAGTGTAATTTACCCTTTTTATTTTTATTATATGCAAGAGTATTGGGCAATTGGCTTATTTATTACTGTATTTGCATTTGAATTAATACACTAATTGCTTTGCTTTGAACAAATCTTCTATACAACAAAGAGAGTACACCAGTTTGGTGTTTCTGTTTTCTGGAGGGTCAGTTTCAAGTAAATCATTTGAGTGTCGCTTTTTGCATTGGGTTTTTCTAGGGTTTTAGTAGTCTGGTCTCGTTTGGGAACATAATATTTTAGTTATTTTTTAAATTTTTACGAAAAGATGTGCAGAAAAGTAGAAAGTGATATGATAATTTACAACATTTTTTTAACTTTTTAACTAAAACTGAAAGTTGTCAAATGAAGCCAATTAAAAAAAACCATTTTAGATTGAAAGCTTAATTTTGTATTCTGAATCATTAATATTGATAGTAGACTTCAATAAGAAGGATGAACAGCTTTGAGAGTTTTATGAGTGGATTTGGAGTAACAAAAGGCTTCTAGTTGGACAATGATCTCTAATAAAGTAGGAATCTCTACGTATACTCCAACACAAAATATTTTGTCATCAAATTTCGTGTCATTTTGTTCTGATTGACTCAAATCATAAAAATTATGTTTTGATGTTCTTATGCATTAAAGTTTTTATATGATCCTACCGTTAGAAATGTATTGTGTTTAAGAAAAAAAAATAAAAAATAAAAAATAAAAAAAATTACAACAAAAAATCTCTTACCCCTTTGAATCAAATCCCTTCATTTTAAATCTCATGTATCCAAAAACATTAGTGAATCTCATGCATCCAAAAACGTTAGTTCACTTATTTTGAAAAAGTCAGGAAAATTCTATTTATCTATAAATTTTTTTACAAGAATAATGTAACAATATCATTTTTGTAAATAAATTCATTTGCATAATTGTTTTGTTTTGAAATTACAATAAATCTACATTAAATCATATAATTTTGTTTAAAATTTTCATTTGTGTATCATTATTCGAGGTTCGGGGAAGCCCTCATCTCATCAAGTTGAGACCCTCTTCTTGGTCTATTTCCTTACCTCCCTACTTGCAACGGTAAAAATGTACTCTAAGATGATCAAACGGTTCAGATCTGGCTATTTCAATTTGTTTTAATTTTTTCTTTTGAAATAGCCAGATCTGGACCGTTGGATCATCTTGGTGTGCATCTCCACCGTTACAAGTAGGGAGATAAGGAGAGAGACCAAGGAAAGGATCTGAACTCACGAAACTAGAAATAAAAGTCACATGCATTAATTAATTTGTATCACATTTGTTTTAAAAAATAAAATAAAATTTGGATGATAAATATGATTTTGAAAATAAATTTTTTAACCTTTTTTACCCAATGTGAACCAATCATATGGTTATTGGAGTCCGATCAAATTGATTTTTAATATAAATATCCAGATAACCTTTTGGAAACCATTATAAAGTTTAGTTTGTTGGTGTAACCACAGATATGATAAATTACAAATACACTGTTTAAGGTTTACTTAAAATATGAATTACTTGTATGGTTTGAAAAATTACAAATATTCTATAGTTAAAAAAATTTATTTAACAAAATTAAGTTAGAAAAATAAAATTCCTAATTGCTTTCCTATATAATGATAAAATTACCTGAATTATTAATTAAAATAAATATTTTTGACATAATAAAAAATTATTAATTGACTTGATAATTTATTAATAGAAGGAATCATTTATTATAAAATTAGAAATTTCAAAGAGTGAGATGTAATTTTCAAAATTATAATGCGCATATCGTATTTTAACCAAACTTAGAGAGTGTACTTGTATTTTACCTTAACAAATAGTAGTGGTACCAAACAGTGAAAATAGAAAATTGAACTTTGGTTCCATTTATTATGTAACTGGCTAATCCATAAGCTAGCTCTTCCACACCTCTTGGCTTGGAGGTCATCACAATTTTTCCAAGAGTAAACCCGGAAACAGATACTATCCTACATGGAAGCAATTTCCTAATCATTTTAGAGTGTCCAATAAACAATGAGTTCGATAAAAAGAGTTAGAAGCAACGAAAGCAAGGATAGAACTAGACGTCCATGAGTGGTTTATCACCAGAAGATGGCTTTTTTACCATTGCCACAATTTGACTTGGGGAGATTAGACTTACGACATGAGAGAGGAATAGCCCAACAAGTTGTCTTGTGGATCCATCCGACTTTTCACTGAAAGGTAATGACAAGTCTTTGAACTCCCCACTGTTGGTATCATAAGTAGCACATCATGTTCTTCCATATTTCGGTTTAGAAAAGTGAGGCTTATCACAAAAAGCATAAGCAATCAAGAGTCATCCATTGACCAATCAATGCAACTTTCTTTGTTAGCGGATTTGATGGCGCAAAGTCGTATTCTTTGATCCAAACTTCATTCACTTTATCCCTTAATGTCTAGATACTATAGTTAAATATGAAATTAAAGTATTTCCGCCTTACACATGCGACAGTGTCACCCAACTTTATAAGGCACAAACTAACTCCACCACGATGACGTCGACACATCTCTTGATGCATCTCATTGTACGGACCACGCCAAACAAGGAATTCTTCAGTCCCAAAAATATCAAATGAACCAATAGTCTCGCGGCCAACATCTGATTCATCATTGTTGATCAACCAAAACAGAGTCCCATCACAATCTGTATGCTCGGGACAACTCATAGGGAAAAAAGGAAGATGTGGTATGTCTCCAAGTTTCAGAACCAAGTGTGTATATTGCACCGTGGGACAATGGTGATCCAACAAAGACAGCAATTTTGTATTCCTTGGTGGACAAAGAATAACCAAATTCCCAACAGTTTCTGTGAAAATTTTCACCGAAACAAGGACCTATAGGCACTTTCATTTTCTCTTGGATGATTGAATTACAAATTAAAAAACACCTCTCGTTTGCCAAAATATGTTCCTGGAGCCTTTGCCTCAAAAATTCAGAAGAAATTTTCATTGCTTCAATATTATTTGACACTTTTTCCACATAATAAATGTTTGGCTCCAAGTCATAAAATCTATAAAGATGGCCAGGATTTTTAACTGCATGATTAAATTGCAGTTCTACAAATTTAGGGTCACTTATCATTGTATATGTAAGATAAATTGATAGAGAAAGAGAAAAAGAGAGAATAAATTATGTATATATTGATGTTTGTTATTGATTGATATCAGTTTTGATGTATTGTATGTACATTATATAGGAGATGGAGATGTGAAGTGGAGGTGGAGTGGTGGAGTAGGTGAAGTGGAGTGTGTAGTGGAGTAGGTGAAGTGGAGGTGGAGTGGTGTAGTGGGTTAGGTTTAGTGGAGTAGGTTTAGGTGTACATTAACAGTATACCAGAGTTTACATGCACACTTCACTCGTATGAGAGACTCAACAGGTAACCTGAGGAAGATATGAGCTTGGATTTCGCATGGAAGGTCATCGATGTGAAATTCTTGATGATGCTTCTTCACCATTAGTGTGCAAGTCCTTAAATCTTCAAAAACCAATGCAACAAGTCACATTGTAAGTAATTCAATAGTACAAGTAATAGCTACTAAAGCAATAAATGGAGAAAAAGCAAACTATACATGTAAAGCAATGAGCTATGAAAAGAATGCCTTCCCTTGAGAGGGTTTTAAACAAAACACCAAAAAAAAAAAAGAGAGAGAGAGAGAGAAAGAAAAAGAAAAAGATGATATGATCCTGTGCATAGTATAATTTTATTAGCACAAGTGGGGTCAATTCGTACTTTTAATTAATTAATCA